TTTGATATTACCTTACTCTGATGACTTGCACTGAATGGAATCAACCAGGGATGCACAGTCCAGACGGTAGCTGCTGATAGTCAGCCTCAAGTACACTTTCAAATAATCATCAGTCACGGTGGAACGGTATTTGGACTTAATAATCTTCTGGGAAAAGGCTGACTCACATGAATAAGTGCAGCTGCAGTCAAGGAGGTAACACATTTCCTAATGTTGGGGTACTTTTCCTCTGTAAGTTCCAGAACTGTCCGTTAGCCCTGCACTTAAACTGGATGTCAGCTTAGTGTCAAAATCTCATCCTCTATTTCAGAAAAGTTCTGGTGAAACAGTTTATAATTCACCTGTTTTTCTTCATTGGTTTATTCGAAGAGTTCTCTCCTAAGCCACTGTGAAAACTACACAGCATTAACAAAATAAACACTCAACGTAAGACACAGCACCTAAAATGACACTGTACAAGGAAAACAAAGATAAAATCAATAAATACCTTGTTGGCTGCATGCTGCAAAAAGGGAATTACTCACCATTCTTCTGAGGGTTCCTTATAAGTGTCTAGTTAAAGTCCATTCCACTTAACTTTCAATAAAGAGCATTACGGGCTCATTCTTGCTACCTGCTTGCAGGTGTTTTCTTAGGCTTCCAAAAAGGAGACAACAAGACTTGTAAGCAGGCTTGACCTTAAAAATAAAAGCACCACAACTTAAACTACATAAAATAACATAAATAATGTACAGCTTAAACAATTTACAGTGATGACATGGACCTTGACAAGATAAAGAAATGATCTAAATTATATAAACAATATCATCATGCCAACAGCTACACAGTGTTTCAAATTTTGATGCGAGTGAATCAACCTCTGCATCTTCCCAAAAAGGGTAGCATGTGAATGTATCGACTGGCATCCATTATCTCTTTCATGTGGAGCAATTTTGCGCATAACGCTTGTTGGTGTATTATGCAGTGGTAATTGAGGAAATCCAGAATAACATTGTCCTCCCTGCACCTGGCAGTGAATCCATTTAGGTGGCAAACCATCCGTGGTGATGGACACCAATTTGTATACTGGGAGCCTGGTTTTCCCAATACATTTATTGAAAGACTGAAAAATGTTTGTTTGCTCGCATAATGAAAGTTAAAAAGTTAGAACAATACATTTGTTAAGAAATTAAAAACTTTCCTTGTTATTTATTAACAGCTGCAGGATCCTCAGTGGGAGCAGCTGCTGCCAGCTCTCTGTTGGATGGTAGGTTCATCATTATTAACTGTGCTGTCTTCTCACTGAATTTTGAGACTGTTCTCTTCCTGAGCGCATAACATACTGACGACTTGTCACGGCCTGAGACATCCCTCAGGAACACTTGAAGGTCCTGGTGGTAACCGACGTTCCAGCCATGTGTTCTAGCCCTAAACTTAACCGTAATCCTAACCCTAACCTTCGGACAATGCACACATTTTATTTTAATTTGGCCAGCGACGCATGTGCACAGCCTGAAGAAGGCACAATCCAGCCGAAACGTAGCTACAGCCATGCGTCAGCACTAAAGTGTTTTTGTTTGTTATTTTTGTTTGTTATTTTCAGGGGGGATTTCCTTTGATGTTCATTTACATATTGATTTACTGGCCTAAAAATTCAAACCTAAAAATTGGACTATCATAAATCTAAAACCTAAAAATTGGATAATTTATGGATAAAAATAGTTTAAAAGCCTAAAAATTGGAATTAAAAATGACACAGAGACTAAATTCAATGAGTAAAGACATATTTTCTTAAAAAAACAGTTAGAAACCTAAAAAAAACAGGACAAATAAAACACAAATTCTGCAAAATTAAACATAATTTGGTACTTACCTGAACCTGAAAAAGAAAAGGACGGTACTTACCTTCATTTGGACCTCGGGGGGTGCTGTATGGGAAGTACGGGGTGGCGACAACGTGACGGGTCTTGGGGAGGGTCATGGTATGGCCCATGCACTACTCCTGCCCTCCTCGTGCAGGGAGGAGTTTC